AGCTCGCCAGCATTCTTAAAGGTCAGCGGAAAACCATTTTTAAAAAACAAAATGAACGAATCGATCAAATAAACGGATTAAAAAAGGTAATAAACAAAATTTTGACGTGCTCCCTTGATCGCCGCTACAATCGCAGAGCTTTTTAAAAGTACGAATTGAGTGGCAACAGCAAGTGGCGCAACAATCGCGATGTAAAAATTGTTGTAGGACTTACTTTCAGACGGTAATTGCATTGATAACTTATTTAGCTTTTGTATGATGATTTCCATTTTCTTTTCTTCGCCTTCTTCCCACGATTGGAGAAGAATACTTAGGTAGGTTTCATTTTCTGAGTCAATTGACTCGATTTTCAGACGCTGGATTTCTGGTTCATACTGCRATCCTCCAAGTCTTATCATTGCTGCCTCAATTTCAGCCCAGTGGGTTTCAAAATCAGCATCAGAGAATTCTGCCGCTGTGCTGTGACCAGTGATTTCATTTCGGCATCGTTTTACTCGAATCAGATCAGCCACTGTACTTTTATTAGTTGGTAGTGGGGCAGCATCCCAGCCTGTAGTAGGTGGAGTCAGACCACAGGTATTCCGTAGTAGAAGGAAGAGCAGTGTTATATCGAAGGCAGCGGACGATGGCACTCCTGGTGCCGGTGGGTATAGCTTGCTCCATTGTTGTGTGTTCAGAACTCTCTTAGCTCTGAGTTTTTTCAGTGTAGAGTTTACAGCGGCCGAGTTGATATGTTTCTGTAGACTAGCAGGTGGGTGGTGCGAATCAAGAACTCCCCTCAACACTCTTGTTCCAATGTCGGTTAAAAGTCTGCCAATACGAGTGTAATTGCTTCTTTGCTTTGATGTCGATGCTATCGTTCCTGGGGGTGGGGGTGGGGGTGGAAGTGGTGCACTTGTGGCCATTCTTCACATGTATCAAGTTCTCTAAAAGAAGCGAATGGTTTCAATGATTGGCAGCTTAAGAACTACTCAAGCATGTTAAGGCAGGGTCATTTGGCTGATATTAGAAAAACACGATTCCTTTAATAACTCAAGTAATTTTAACCTTAGGTTTAAATTACGRATTTTAATAAACTTAGGTTTCTTAAAATTTTGAAGAAAAAARATTCGACTTCCGGTGGTCACGTGACCCTAAGGCAATCAAAATATGTTTTTCAAAATGGGGTGGCGAAATTTATTTGATACCATAATATTTTTGAGTGGAATTGTTCAGTAAATTGTTCTCTCTAACAAAATGTTTGGAATGGTTGGATATCATTGAACTATTAGGTACAAAATAATGTTGTTGTTTTTTTTAATTTTGACCAAGTCACGTGACCTGTTTTGTTAAATATCTCTTAAAATAAAAATGGTAAACCAAAGATTATGAGTTGAGTTTAGTCCAATGTTTTTTCTAGAATATAGTGGCAAAATACCCTACCTTAACATGCTTGAGTATTGTTACCCATATTCTATATCATCTAAGTTTTTTTATTNATTCGACTTCCGGTGGTCACGTGACCCTAAGGCAATCAAAATATGTTTTTCAAAATGGGGTGGCGAAATTTATTTGATACCATAATATTTTTGAGTGGAATTGTTCAGTAAATTGTTCTCTCTAACAAAATGTTTGGAATGGTTGGATATCATTGAACTATTAGGTACAAAATAATGTTGTTGTTTTTTTTAATTTTGACCAAGTCACGTGACCTGTTTTGTTAAATATCTCTTAAAATAAAAATGGTAAACCAAAGATTATGAGTTGAGTTTAGTCCAATGTTTTTTCTAGAATATAGTGGCAAAATACCCTACCTTAACATGCTTGAGTATTGTTACCCATATTCTATATCATCTAAGTTTTTTTATTTCATCTTTATTTCCATTTTCAACTTAATACAGAGTAACATAGACCATTTCTGAAATACAAAATCATGGTGCATTGTGGTCTAGCTTCAGTAAAAACAACACCATATTTGGCAGCATGAACAAAAGATGTTTGTACTGAATCTAGACCACAATGCAATGCAAACTGCTATCTCAGAAAGGGCCTATTTAACCGCACATTTTACATGACATTGCTGACATTCGGCAAATTTCGTACTGTATATTCTCTTGATAAGATTCTCTTGAGCAGAAAAGCTTAGAGATTCATGTAATATTTCCAAGTAAATATGCACGGTCTTGTTTCTTGATCAGACAACGCTTCAAATTCTAGAGCTTTTCATCCTTCTCATTGCAAAGGATCAGCGTAGCGTCCCATTTTCAGTTTACCGAATGTCTATACTAAATTGTACTGTGCGTTTCGAATCTTTGACCATCTCATTTTTCTAAGCACTTTAAACACAAATACTAGAGTTTTCGACCATCTGGCATTCGTTTTATGGTGATATTTGGATGCTAGAAGTATTTTGGTGTAAATCACAACAATTACAGAGGCATGCAAACTGGGCCTTTTTAAAAGGTGTTTAAAAGGTGTTTTTTTTAACAGGACGTAGCGTTTTTATTTTCTTCTTTTTCTATTTTTAATCTATCCTTACTAGTAGTATTTACTTATTCTTCTACACTTTTTCACAGCATTACACCCGATTTCAAATGAGTGCGAACTCTCGAATATTTTTTGAACGCTAAAGTTTCACTCGACCGTCATTCACTCGACCGCTTGGCAAGCAGGCACACGTGTTTAGTAAGTGATGCGTGACTTTCTGTAGCGGGACTTTCGCATTTAGAATTATGGAGGAAGAAGCTGTGGTTTTTGTTCGAGATATCTGTGGTCCTTGTGTTTCACAAAACATTCTACTTCACTCAATGCAATTGAGARCAATTAGAAGAATATCAACTAAACTTGATTAAAAAATATAATTTTCTATCTGATTTGTAGTTTAAATTTGGCTTTATTAACTTGTAAACATCAAATGCATGCAAATAATACTTTGCACAATTAGGTATAGCTTTGCAAGAACCATGAACTTGAGGGTGTTGTTTTCTGCATCTTGAAAAGATATTCTTATGTTAAACTAAAATACACATTTTTCTTTTCTTTCGTTATGTAAACAATTTAAGTTTACAATAAAAAAATTATCAAGAAAGCGAAAAAATAATTGCAACANTTATTAGAATGAAATATGACCAACACTTGGATAAGCTCAAGCTTATTCTTGGTTTGCAGGTTACGTCACAGCGGCCATCTTGGAGGAACTTTAACAAAGGATTTCTCATTAGTATCTATTGTTCATTCTTCCAACATGGCCGCCGGTCTTTTATCTTTTGAATCTCATGGGAATGGGTGAAAACGATCAATGGGAACTGCTTTGAAGGACGGTGCTTGGGTGTGACTAATTTATGCAGTAGGTAAATGTAATAAGAATATATTAATTCTTGCATTCATACAACTGTAACAGTCACACACAAAGAATCAGTACTGTGTCATTCAAGCATAGACCAGGGTCTCGATGTCGGTTGCCAGTTAAAATTTCAAGCCACTGACCCGAAGCAAAATATATTTTTCCGCGGAAAACTTCGAAAATTTCTAGAAGCTAATGTCTTTGAATATGGCCTAAAAATATATTTTTTAAGGAAAATGTCGCCAGTCAGTAAATATGTTGTTTGTCGGTAGTCAGCAAATTTTGTTCAAATTTGTCGCTAGTCAGTTGTTAAGTTTTGTCCATTTGTCGCTAGTCAGTTGTTATTTTGTCCATTTGTCGCTAGTCGGTTCAGCCCATTCAGACCCTAGACTGCTATCACTTATATCAATGTTTTTATACTTTTATTCAGTTAAATCGTAATGTCAGACCTTGCATTCTGGTGACGCATTGATCGCTAGCAAAATGCAAACATCAAACAGGCCAATAAGATTATGATTTATAAAAAGAAACTTACCTTTTATGGTGTTTTCAAAACTTTTGTTATTCCAATGTACTGGAATTGTACTTGACTCACAGTTGTTTATCAATATGGCCTTACATTTGTTGGTAACACACAGAGTTCAAACAATGAGGTCCTCCATTACTGCTTAGTGGCGTCGCTATAGATAAAGAAAATACCATAAAATAACAAAGATAAAATAACACTTAAAATTAAACGTTGATGTGTTAAAATGAGACTAAGACGCAAACACAACCAGCAAATCAAGAAAATCAATGACAAAGCATCGACATAAGCATAAGCATAATCATAAGTAAAATTTATGCTCACTTTTCTGTATTTTTGGAAAGATTTGCCTGTTCCAATGTTTGATTTGAAAGTTTGTTTCTAATACGAGGGAACTGTCTTTGTGAGTAGCACTTCTTTAAATCCTGAAATGGTAAAACTTCGCTGAGATATTGACTTGCATAGTTTAAATACTTTTATCTGCTTTGATATTTCCGCCATTAAAACAGTAAATATAATCGCGATTTTTCAACAATACTGCTCTATCAGAATGTCCAAGTTATCAGTCTATAACGAGCTTAATATAA